TAGGGGTAAATTTCCTTTGGGTAGCGACCAATTCGGGGTGCGACCAGAGTCACAGAACGAATTAAGTTCGTAACCCGAGGTTCCACTGTACTATACTTATTTATCAGGGAGGATTTCCAAGAAGTTAACCTTATACACTAACAGGTTTTTTCATTAGAAGAAATAAGCATATGGAAATAATCTTTTTCCATTTTTATATTTCCAAATGTATATTAATGATCTGTCTTGGGAATAAAACAGGCAAGAAATCCAAACAAAGCAGGTCACAAATATGTAGCAAAGATGAGGAAAGATAAAATAGTCTATCAAAAGGTATTAAATAAGCAACCTAAAGTCCTAATGCACTACGTAATAATGATAGTTATTGGATATTCTAAGATAGAAGTGGAAGAACTAAATGAAACATTTCCAGTCTCTTTAATATCCTGTTATTCACAGGGTTAATACAAGCACTTTAAGACCAATGAAGCTGGCAATAATTAAAGTCAGGGAGACTTAGCATCATCATTTTCAATTGCCTGCAAAAGAAATTAGAGACCATTTTGTATGTGTGCACCCTGAAAACTAAGTTTGGTACAATGATACAAATTACTTAGATAAATATTTTACATTTGTATCAACTAAACATTTCCATATTTACTGAAAGGAGTTTGACTACTAGAAACCATGGCTATGTTTTTCTTCTACTGCAATAAACCAAAACCTCAATATACTGCAGAACAACTCCATGAACAAGCTTATTATCTGATCATAACTTTATTAACACATTAATAAGTGTTATATTATACATACACACACATTATATACTTACTGTGAAATTGTCGCAAAGGCTCTGTTTGTGTAGTTTAATACAAGTCATTCAAAGCTATTTTGTTAGAAATGCAGAAGCATGAGAGCTGACATCAGTCTCTATCAGACTGTTTATACAAGTAATTCATTTAAAGTGAAAGAACAAATTCACTTCCTAATTACATTTTATGGTTATATACTCATCAGTATCTCTGAAATCCAGCAATGGAAAGCAAGGAGGCAATGGAACTTTAGAGCAGTCAGTCCTCTGTTAAAATTGTTACAAAAATATCCACAGTATGTACACAGGAATTGAATCCTAATCTTTTTACTAAGTTTTGAGCCTGTTTCATTTCAAACAAACCATTTTTACTTAAAAATGAAAACACTGAATTGATTTACAGTGGTCCAATTTAAAAACTCTGTTATCTAGAAAGCATAACTATATAGGCATTATGTAATAAAATATTTCCTAACTCAGAATTCAGTTTCCCTTAGTAACCAGAAATTTGAAACACTGACTATAGCTCTGCTTAAGGGTCATTTAAAGAACATACAGACTTAACATTCAGCTACTGATGGTAAAAAACAGGACCGTTCCCTTAAGTAATAATAGATCAGTGAAAGTTATCAGAAGAGCACAAGAATATTTGCACACCGCACTGGTAAAATGGACAAGTTATACCAATCTACATTCAGTGGATTATTAACAATATTAAAAGCATTAGAGGCAATAAGGGACTTCCTAAATCTGATCTCTCCTGAAAGTAAAATAAGACATAAGTTTAAAGCCACTTTATTTTGACCTACAGTTATTATATAACATCCATAGGAAGACTAGAAAGGTTAACACTGCCTCTCCAGAATGACTTCACAACATTCTTGAAAAGATTCAAAACAGTATTCATCAATCCCATTAACATGATCAGCTGCCTGCTAAACTGAACAAGCAAAAGGCAATCATATACACCATGCTTCCTTAAATAGCATTCTGAAAATATCAGGGTCTTTAATACATGTATCTTGAAAATTATGTACCCAAGCAGCA